AGACAGGGATCAGCTTTTTTTTTGTTTTGGTATGCAGCTTTTTCTTCCTTTTTCGCTAGAAAAAGCAGACGAAAGCCACAGTAGCTCACTGTATCCTGCACTATTCCAAACACACAAAAATAAAACCCAAACAAACAAACAAAAAAAACACGTAACACCCAAGACACACCTACAAGTTTAACAAGGAAAGCTGTTGGTCAGTAACTCAAACCCAGAGATTTGGACTTCAACAAGTGCCGTTTTGCAACACAACACTGGTAATATTTTAAATCCAGAAAAAAAACCCTATACAATTTGATTTCAAGAACATCAACAAAACCATAGCTGTATCAATACAGAAAACAATTTAATTTGTTTTGAAATAAATATTTGACATACAAAGCACATACAGTGAAAAAGGGTCACACTAAATTACAAATGGAGATACTTGCTCACTCACTGAGAAAAGCCCTTGATATTTCCAATTTCATACCATGAAATTTATCATTCTTGCTGATTTAAGCACAGCACTAAACAAATATGGATCCCAGTGCTTTCTTTCACAGGTACTGGCATGGATAATTTACTGCAGTGATCCAATTTGAAAATCAGTAGGGACCAGTAAATCGCTGCATAAAAGAAAGAGCGAATGAGGTGCTTTTTCCTTAGTGTCAGCAGGCTGTGATTATTATGTTTATTAGATTTTCTTGAAAGGGCTTTACATTTTCTCAAATATGCAGGAGAACTATATTTCCCCTCTGAGCCCTTACATTAGCATTTTGTGCCTCAGTCCTTGAATACAAGTAAAAGATGAATTTTTCAATTAATTTTAGAAGTTTGTACCATCTGGATGGCACAGAACTAAGCAATGAAACTCCCTTACCTGCACGATATCTGCTATTATCATAGAGCTAGCTTCTGCAGAAAAGTTAATAAGTAATGCTGACATTTTATGAAAAAGATACTTTCAAATCCACATTTAAGATTAAATTACATTATCCATACCGATAATGCATCTTTGAAATAAAGGATTGCTTAAGGTTCTACCCTTGAAAGGCGATTTAAAACAGCAAGGCTTGACTCTTCCCATGATTTTAAGAAACTTAGAGCACATTAAAAGTTACAGTACAAAGATACACTAACCAATTTCAGTATACATAGTTTAATCACAAATACTTGCACTGCAGCAATTAAAATTTAGACAATTACAACAGATCAGCATACCCTACTAACATCTGGTATACAAGCGTTCGTGATCATACCGTTGCATTATTTCTCCTCACCAGAAAGAGGATGATACCAGGGGCCATACCCAGCTCTTGCACATGGAAATCAATTTTCAACACTGCTTCAAAAGAACATGCTGTTCTAGCTCAATGGTCTTTGCTACCCTTAGTCTGAGCACCGTAAGGTACAGTACTTTCTGAAATTGTTTCAGCAGCAGTTAGTATAATTTTAGAAAAAGGACCAAGAAATCATATGTAGTGTAGAAACAAATGACAGTTACTCCTGGACACTTGTCCAACTCTCTTTTTTCTCCTATTTCCTGCTATGCCAGAGCTTCTACATCACCACAGGGCGAGCGACCTTTCCTTCCATGCCTCAGGTCCTGTCTGTAGAATGGGCAAGAACAGCAGTTCCTTAATTAACAAGGGAACTGTACAGGAAATGTTGCAATACAGGTGCCTAATGACAAAAATGTGCAACACAGACCATACAAAATAACGAGCTACGGTATTTATTTGGACAGTACAAACACACACATAGTTAGCAGCTCAAAAACTGTTGGAACAAATAATGACTCATTAAAAATATCCTCAGAATGTGTAACTGAAAATATTAGTGGATATCGGTCCCCTCGAACATCCATGGAAAAAGGGAGCAAAACAAAACTGATGGCACAAGAGAGACAATAAAAGTGAAAGAATAAATAAAAGACAACAAAGGAAAAGATGGATGCGTTAGTGAATTACTTTGCATGTAAGAAATCCCAACTGGCATTAGCTACTCCAACACACCCAGGGGGTCCCAATACTTTATCTACAGGTGGTAACAGACAAGTCTTATGCTGGACCATCAGTTCTACAGCAAATTTGTGCACAGCAAGGGGTTCGCCTACGCACAGAATCTATGCAACAGCACTTTAACTTACGAAAGCTAAGACAATAAAAAACAATGATTTTGTGTGATTTATACCAGTGGAAACAATTTCTACGCATTTTACCATCAGTTGCAACATTTCTCTACCACCACAGATGTCTGTTACAGCCTCCGCATCGCATCTAGCTGTTGACAGCACAGCAGTATGAACATACAGTTCTTTTCAGCAGAAAAATCTCAATCTATCAGGACACAACCAGCATTCCATGTGTTTAATTTAATCGTTAGTATAGAAACACTCACAAACTGTGATAAGGAAGCAGGCACGAAGACAAAATGTTTTTGCCAGCATTGAGTAAACTTGGTGTTACCACTTAAGCAGCCTAAAGGCTACAGTAAAAATGACAGTTGGTGCAGAGTGCAGGTCAGTTGCCCTGTGTATTGTTCCATGTCTTCTTGGCACAGAGACATGAATTCTACCAGGCCATAAGTAAAATAATTTGTCCAGCAACTCCTCACAAAGCAAATATGCTACTAGCCAAATCAAATGCTCTTTATGAAACATCTTCCTTCTCTTGATCCATTTTTAAGACTTGAGTTAACAAGAAATTCAGTATCCATGTATAAGCTCTACTTCATGGCACTGTCTTCCAACTCTCTACTTACTGAAATCTCATTCACTTATTCCTTTTAATCTTCCTCATCCATTCATAGAGTTGGATCTCAAGACTTTGCATCCTTCAGTTACAGTTGCAATACATCAGATCCAATTTAGACTCTTCTCTAATTTAATGACAGCATACAATTAAAGGAACAGTAGACTGCACCCATAACAGCAGCCTTAGACCACAAAAATTTGCTCAGAAGTAACATATTATTTTGCTTATACTAATTATGAAAGTATTTATTTGCCTTCTGCTCCCAGTACAGCAGACCAGCTTACATGACCAAATGAATTTTTAAATCGCAGTGGTGCAAAGAGCTCAACAGAGTCTTATGTTCCACTCGCAAAAATATACCATGTAACATGAAAGAGGGTCTAGAACAGTGCTGAAGAATTGAAGTGGCGAGAAGTAGATCCTGATTTCTGCTCTGATTAGATACCAGTGTTGCAGTGTTTATTCTTGGGTTAAATTCTGAAGGAAAGGATCATAAATTTTTGCACTTCAGAAGGCAAAAATTCCCTATAATGTAGAAATGCACAAGACATTATGTCCCAATTCAGAAGCAGCAGTGGGAATACAAGAACATGCACACATACACACAAGACAGCATTCTGCTCAACTTCCAGGTTCAAGCATCAGTTACGTTGTTAGAGATAAAAAAAAAGCTTGAAGAGCCTAGAAAATTACATTCAACACTCCTTTTATTGCAGTAGAAATTTTAGTTTTTATAAAATCCTCAAATTACAGGATATACATATAGTGAATCTCGTTGCAAGTCTTTAGCAGCTGTAGAGCATTACTGCATGCAGTTGCTTCTGCAGTGTGCAAGTGTTCTATAAATAGCTAATCATGTTCAGAGAGCAAGACAAGTAGTCAAAGAATATCAGATTCAATTACCAATTGGTTCATCAGTACCAAGAGGTTGAGCAAAAAATAAAGTGTATAAATACATGATTCTGATCTAACAAACTAATACAACTGGAAAGTCTGAATGATATCCACTTCACGAACAAGATAACTCAACAGTTACAGGAAAATACTTCAAGACTGTTCTCAAAAGTGTTTCACATAAGATCTCTGATCAAGGAAGAATAGTCAAGTACAGTGCTATAGAAGTTTACGAAAGGCCAATGAAACCCATTTGATTTTACGCAATTAGAATATTAACATTAACTACAGAAGACCAGGCAAATACTTTGCCTTGAACTTATGGAAAGAAGTTGTGTTCAGACAGGTAATATTCTTCTTCCACGACCGATCTTTCAGCTGCTGGGTGAATGCGTAATCAGCACTCAATCTAATATTCACTTCTGTAGTCATGACACTGGCTTCAGATCAGTCATCAGATGGATTTATGCCAAAAAATCCTACACCTATTTGTTTCAAAAGCTGCCTAAACAAGTGCAATCCTTTATGCAAATTTCCCATCACAATGAGAGTCTCAGAAACTGGAAAAACAATTTATATAGAGCTAGCTACAGATTAATTTTCTAAAAAGCTGACATGCTTGAATTACTGCGGTCTCACATTTGTGTAGACAAGAACAAATCTGCAAAAGATACTTTGTTTACATTGATTAGTTCACTTAAGAGATGGTTCAAAGTTTAAGCATTGCATCTTTGTCTGAAAAGCCAACAGGTCAGCAATTTGGCTTGGTAAAACATCCTGTTATGACAAAATAATGGCAGAGTTTTCTGTGATCGAGTCTTGAGACTTCTTCCAACAACATAATGTAAGAATATGTCACAAGGCAGAAACCTGGAAGAGTTCTTTTTTAAGTAACATTAATAAAAATAGCCTCTCCTTCAGAAAAGGCGTTAACTGTACCAGCTTAATAGATTTTAATCCCTCTTGTTAAATTCAAAGTGGACCATATTTTTAGATTGAGTATAGTTAATTTAGACAAAATGGTTCTACAGATACATTTCGTAAGCAGAAGAATACTGTCCAAAGTGTACTGCATAGGTATGTGTACCAACTGCTATCCCCTGGAGACATCCTACAGTAGCTACAGTTCCAACTAACATAAACCTACTGACCACAGACTTCTTAAAGTTTTAATCAACCTCAAACAATCCTTGATTCCTAAAAAAGAAATGCTGTATGATTGGGCACGTGCTGGGTAGGATGCAGCTACTTTTTTTCACCAATTAGCAATACAGCAAAGTAATTTTAAGTTTCCATGACTTGCTTTTGATATGCGAAATTTCACATTATCTCCAAGAAAAGCATTACGCATTTTTATACAGCCTGGAGTGAGATCAGGGTAAAACCAGGAATTTATAATCATCAGCAGAAGTGCCAGCTGCTCGTAATGTTCACAAAACACGAGTGCCTGAAATTTGGCTATGCAACAGTTGGTGCCAATCTGCTTATAAAGGAAATGCTGCTGAGGCATAGTCTTCTTACAAAAACAGGGCACGAGGGCTTCATTATTAAGTGTTCAACAACAATCCTCAGCTCCGTGAAGAGAGTCCTGAAAAATCAGATGTAAAGAGAGTCTTAAAATCCTTTAGCATTTATCAGAAGTATCATCTGTCTTTTTCATTCACTTTTACCAACACACACACACACTCTAGTTAGCAACTTCTTTAGATCCACTCAGTGTTGCAGTATCTTGCAAGAGCTTCAGAACTCTTAGCCTTTACACATTAACATTTTAATTAACTTCAGTTCTGCAACTTCCAGCTGAGGACAGATATAAAGACAACAGAAAAATTCCACCTTCAAGACAAAAAGACAACCACTATTTAAAAGAGTACTGCTTTATCAGAAACAGTGTAAGCAGCTGGGAGGTAATTGTGTGTTTGTGCTGCTTCTTGCCAGAATGCAAGAACCCTGCACTCTAGAAGCAACTATTAAAAAGACAGACATGAAAAACAAAACCTACACCACCAGTTTCCCTTAAAATTACATAAATGCTAGCAGAAAACCTTGGATAAATTAGTTCTATGGAAAGTTGGTTTTAGTATTGCACAACTTTACTACTTTGGTATCTAAAAATAATTTAAGCACTTCCATAGTTTGTTTTTTCGCTAAAAAAGCCCACAAACAAACATGTACCAAGACGGAACAATTGATTTCTTACAAAGCAGTCGGGAATAGGAGGCAATTAAGTTTATGATTCTCAGACCTGTCTTTGCATACCATGGCAGCCAAAGCCACTTCCCTGGCACTTTAGCAAACAGTCTTCCAATCAGGTAGTGATCAGACTGGAAAGTGTGTTCACAAAATCTGATGCTACGCAAGGCTTGTCATAAGAAAAGTCCTGAGAAAGCATCGACCTGAGCAAATCTTCATAGAAGTATTTATGGTTCCAAAGTTTAAAGCAATAGTATTGGCTTGACCATGTACCAAACAAAATCAATAAGGGTCTATTTAAATTATAATTAACCTGACTTATGAATTTAACTAAAGGAGATAACGAACATGTTTAAGATCATCCACATATTTTTTTTTCTGTCAACATCACACAAGTTCAGAAGCGCCTGTTCATGTATAGACTTAGCCTCAGACAGGCCTGGAATCTTTCTGGTAAATGGTTGCAGAACAATTAAAACACTTTCTTCTCCAAAGCGTAGTCTGAATTACACAAGCATGTTCTGAAAGCTCTCACTCAAGGATGATGGTACATTTCAGAAAAGTTTAGTTACATGAAATAAGTATAACCTTGAACCCGGTGTTCTTTTTTCATCATCCAGGTGTATTCCACATGCTGTAATTACTATTTCCAGATTTGGTATTACGAGTTAGGCATCCATTTCAGAATGAAAAATTTCTGAATGCCTAAACACTATGCAGCTAAACATTAACTTCCAAAACCAATTTAGAGCTTACCGACAGTATGGATTTCGCCGAGAGGAGTAGCGTAATGTAAGAAACCTGTAGTAAATGAACGGCTGGAGAAGACTCCCTTGTCCACTGAAAGAGAATAGAGAAGAAGAGCTTAATACTGAAAAAAAAAAAACCCAACCTAAAATAGGAATTTTCCCAATAAAAAACTAATTAGGCTCAAAAAAAGCTAGATTGGGGTCACATTGGTTCTGATAATCTAGATCTGACATGAAAAAGTACGTACCCACACACTTACAAAAGCAGAAACTTACATTATAGAATAAAACCGCTCCACGAAGCGGTTAAAGAAGTACTGTTCTTGTATTGATTTTATATTTACGAAGTCTTTTTATATGCCTCATTTCTGGTGGTGGGCAAAGAATCATAGAAGTGATGGTGGACGCCTGTTCAGAATTAAGGAAAAGCTTCCTGGTCAAGCACAGGAATTGCCTGACATAAATAGTCCAGTTACGGGGAGCTTTTTCAGCCCTAATCGTAGCATTTTGATTATCTGGACCACATTTCTAATATCTTTTTCAAAACTTCTCAGAACACACTGGAGACTATTCTAGATGCATTGAGATATTAATGCAAAGCTGGTATCCAACTATTTCGGTTATACTGAAATTGGGTTTTGGTACTTCACAAAGCTGCTGTTTCACATGACGGTGCTGTAAAATAGTGAAAGGGTAGTATAAAAACCATACATAACAAAGGACAGAAATACCATGAGTTCATTTTAATGACTGAAGCTTCCTTATACAATACAATATTAAAAGCTCTGTTTGAAGATGAACATGACAGTTCCAGTAACTAGAGCTCCTTCAAGTATGAGCAGTATCTTTACCCGGAAGAAAAAATACAAAGTGAAAAGGAAATCTTACACCTGAACAGTATTTACAAGCATTTTAATATGCTAAAACAGTTTAAAGAACAAATTCTCACAATAGCTACATTTAACCATTATACTATTTTTAAAATTTGGTATATGATCTTTTACAAGGTTCAGTATCCACAAGATGACTTAACAAATAGCAACACTTCACATATTAAATTCTCCAGAAAGAGAGAAAAAAAAAAAGTTCTAAAGAGAAGTTTAAAGCACTTGAACATTTCAGATACCGGATACTGAGTGCATCTGCCAGCTGGTAAGTGGCCTTAAATGAAATGGAATCCTTCAGGGCTGAAGCATTGAAGTGTTCAGCTGACATATCAAAAGATAAAGACAAATTATGCATTCTATCAACTTCCAAGAGGATAAAGCCTCCCTTCTGCTGCCTGTGAGACCACGCGGGACAAATGCTCTCACTGTGCTAGGACTTGTATAGAACAAAGGGCATTATTTCCCCTCCAAATATTAAAAGGCAATGACCCAAACTTCAGTGACTGGCAAGTCGTTATGCCTATGTAACTTCAGTAGGATTCCAGTATGCATATGCTCGAGATCCCTAAAATGAATTCTACAGGCTGCACAACAGGCAAAACCAAAAGGAATAAAAAAACAAACAAACAAACAAAAAAACAAACAAAAACCACACACACAAGACTCAAAGGTCACTGGTCAGAAGCAACATAGGAGAGGACATAACCTACTCCTGCTTGCACACTTTTAGCACAATGAAATTTCATGCCACTTATTTTTGACTATTAGATTCCACAAATTTGAGTTCACTCTCAGTGAAGCTGAATATCTTAATATTCTATTACACTCATCAAAATTAAACGTACTGAACCATGCAGGAAAACACAAGCTACAGGCCTGAAAAAACTTTGATTTGACCCAACATTGTCACCCATGCTATGAAAGGGAAGAGTTTTTTGGTGCTCAGTTATATCAGAGTGAATACTTTGATTTCTTGAAATCTAGAAATGAAATAAATTTAATTCTAAGTTCAAGCCTTGGTCAGCCAGAACCATACAAATTGAGATTTATGACCCACAGAGAACTGAAGCACAAAAAAGTAATCTTATGTAAGAAAGTTTCCAATTCTGAAAACATTTATGGTAATTCTTACCTGAAGAGCATAAAAACTGTAGCGGGCATCAGGAAAATTTCATTGCAAGCAATGAATTTTAGAATATTCTGTTGATTAGCATTCAGTTTGTCTAAAAGATTTCTCAGAAAGGGCAGACTATTTGAACTTCGTGCCTTTAAAGAAGAAAAAAAGATCGCCACAAAACAAGTTACACCTATCCTCTCTCACGCAAAGAAATCAAAATGCTAACAGTTATCATTTACAACTCATTTCAGCATTTTAAGACTAGATCTTTTAAAGGTATTGGGATTAGTATCCCAAATACAGCTACCGGAACTCCATAATTACGCACAGTTCAATTAAAAACACCAGGTGTTGCAATTCCCTCACCCACTCATTTTAGGTTCAACTACATAGAGATGGCTACGAGCCTTATTCTGTCCACCAGGAGGAAGGACCCGTGGTAGCAAGACAGCCCAGTTAGGAACACCAAAGGTTGGAGTTACACTAAGCTGCACAAGGCAGTTCACCGAGCAGTAGGTCCACCTGACAAGTATTTTGCTTGCTAGCCTCACCCTGCAGTTTGTTACTTTACTACTGAAATAGAACATTAACTTTCACAGGCTATGGTTTAGCTTGAAACGACATGTCTTAAGTTTCAACTTAACTGTTACACAGCTTTTGCTTCCTTCAATGAACAGCATTTGAAGAAAAATAATTAGTGTCCGCTCCAACACATCATTGAGTCATGACAGAAGGCGGGGGGGGGGACGGGGGACCCCACGACCCAAAGAAAGACTTCACGGATTCTTCATGCTGAGATTCCATACTACAATTTCACTCTTAATTCATCTAGTGTAGCTAAAGGAAACCACAGCTGCAACTCCAACCCATTTGTAAACCCCAAGAATGCCAACAATATTAATTGTATTACACATCATATCATACTTACATCAAGAACCTTCTTTGTATATGTGGCAGCATGAAGCAAAGAGAACAGCAGAACTGGAAAAATACTCACTGAAGCAAGCGATAAGGAAAATTATAGGCTGCAAAAGTGCTTCATTTCTCCGTGATGTTATGCTAACACACAAGTCATAGCTTGATGGCTCTTTGCAAGAGGTTGGCTGGAAAGACCTATACTGGATTAAGACACGTCTAACAACTATATTTATAGCTCTTCCATTTGCTTCTTACATCTCTTCACTATGCATTTTTATTAACTTCAAAAGTTGTGTGTATGCAGGTATGCAAAAGAACAACATACACCATTACAAACCAAGGCATTTCTACTGAAATGCATTCTTTCTGCACGAAAGACATGTGAGGTTACTACCTAAAAAAAAAAAATCTATCAAACACATGTAGTCATCACATTTTTTCTTATGAGATGCTACAAAACGCATTTCTTTACTGAAGAACATGCAGTTGCCAGCCATTCATTTAGATAGCAAGAATGCAGACATTCCACTGCCAGAGACATTTATTTAAGAGTAGGACATTAAGCGTACGTGCAACGTGACACGAAGGAAAGTCAGTTCTTACATGTCACCTTTGACTAGCCACCAGAGTAAGTCTTTTTTGCAGACTTTATCTGTTTAATAACCTCTCTGAAAAAGCTACTACTGAATAATCGTCTCTCTATATGATACACATCCTACATACAGCAAGGAATCACATATAAACCCTGTATTGGTAATACATGAAAGTTACCAACTTCTCAAAGTATCACTTGAGGCTGGTCATAAAACAAAATCCACTGAAGTCTCCAAGTGGAGGGAAGGAGAAAAAAAAAATGAAAAATAAAAATCTAAGTAGGCAGAGACTGCAGTGCACTAGTTACAGAGGTGATTAACCTGAATATGGATCAATCAACATAAGCCTCTCCTATTTTACATAGAGTATGCTCTATGAATAGCAAACGTATTCTAGTTTAAACTGGCTTTTCAAATCATGGCACAGGTAACCAAAAGAATCAAGTTTTTAAGATATTTAAAAACATTACCAGATGACACAAGTGAAAGGATACTTGTAACAGGGTAGGAATTCACAAAGATAAGAGAGTACAGCAGGTAGTGGCAGCTGTCCTCCAGCAAAGCCTGGGCCAGAAACGCCCTGCTAAGCTGAAAGTGCGGTAGCCTTTGGTGTAGTCGGAGGGCACTAGTAAGAGCATTTGCCAGCAAGGCACGCTGATAAAAGCTTGCTGCTTCATGCAACCTGCAAATCATCAGAGGAGACGTTACCATATGAACCAAGCCCCTGCTCAGAAGTCTTCCACCCTTGAGAATTGCATCACCATTGCACAACACCTGAAGTATTTCTCTGCTCGTACATAAGCGCTATCAACAAAATACAACTAAAAACACTGACTTACTGCAGCTGCCAAAGGTAAAGCAATACATTACCCCACAACTACACATAAAACCATGCTTTTGCCACTACTTCACAGTTGCTCAACCCATTTTCCAAACACATCTAAAAGTGTTTTAAATCAATCCAAAATCTGCAAACTGTTCTGACAAAAAGCATCCAAGTACACTGAATAATAGAAATTTACCCTTACATGAAAAGCAACTCTAAGGAAAGGGAGAGTAGTTACTTTGTAAATTTTTAATGCTATTTTACAATATTACAATACGTACCCTAGAAGAGGCAGGACAAATAAAGCTGAGCAGTAAACTGTGAACAAGCGGGAAATCCACATTGCCGTATCCAACTTGTTAGCCATCAGAAATTGCTACATGAGAAGAAAAGAAAAAACCCAACCCCCAAGAAGTTGGTATCTTCATGTTTGGATACAACGAACATTCTTTCCTTCTGTATTAAATTGAAAGTCTTTCTCCAACCTTGAACGGAATCAAATTACACCTTGAAGCAAAGAGCATCTTTTCATTCTGTGTGATACTTGACCCACACGATGTTACTAACCAGATCAAAAATAGCTGCTCTTCCTCATAATCAAAGGGCTCCCTTGTAAATTACAACCAAATATAGTGGCAAGATCTTCTGTGCAGGCTATTTTTCTATACAAACCAACCTCACTAAACACTCAGCTCCAAAAGTGTACCATGCAAGGTCTTTAGACCCGACTGACTTTTGTATCTGTTGCTTCAAGGTTCCTTCTAGCATTCACTGCACACACCTGGAGATAAATCACCATAATTCTTACGGGGGG